GGCCAAGGCACACATGGCATTTATCAGGCCATATTCATCGGCGTAGACCGATTGCGGGTCGCGCAGCCGCTCAAAAAACGTCGGCATATGCAGAAACCCCAAGCAGCGCAGCGGATAGATGCGGGCAAAGTAGGTGGCAAGGAGGCCACGCAGCCGGTCCATGGGTGGCAGTCCCGGTGCAAGCAGCCAGTCCGGTATGGCGGAAACGCCTGCTGGATGATGCGAGGGCTGTGATGGCAATGTAGATGACGAAACTGTTACTGGCAGTGGCGTAACGAGGCCTGCCGAGTCGGGCGACGGAAACGTGTCCGACGGGTCGCCTGCGATGCCGCTGTCATTGGCCGCAGATCGGTACATAATCTCTGGAGCAACGGCCGGAGCTGGAGCCGGAGCTGGAGCCGGAGCCAGTGGTAGGACCTGGTCAGCGAGAGTCGTCGTCGTCGTCGTCGATGAAACAGACGCATCTCCCCGGCTGCCTTCGTACACGCAGGCAACGCCCCGCCGGATGCAGCGCGCGCATGATATGCCGCCCGAGCACTTGGCCTTGGCCCGCTTACATGCCGTGCACGAGCGCAGAATCCGTCGCCGCTGCAATCCGGCCTGGGTCGTTGTGGCTGTGGATGAGAGGGCGCCGCCACGATGGTTGTGGTGAGCACCGAGACCCGGTTCGGAAGCGGAAGTCGCGGTGGAGGAGGCGGAAGGAGCCTCACGGTAGCTGCAAGGGGCACCAAACTTGGCGCAATTGGCACACGTTATGGGTCGCCGGTCGCACTTGATCTGCGTAACAGGTGAATTGTCAGCGGGAACGGGAAGGAACAATGGATGTTGGGTCGTGTCCTGGCAAGTGCGACCATGCTGTCTGTGCCCACCTGTACCTTCCACCTCTCGCCTTCCACCAAAGAGACTCACCTTCCGCCTTCGGCAGATAATGCAGCTGACCGACTCCATCTCGACATCCGTTCTCCAAGAAATCAGCCCCCAAAAAAGAGGGCGAGATGCGTTTCGGCCGGAAGAGGGTATTTGTTCGGCGAAAACCAGCGACAACCGATGAGCGACAGGCGAATGCTCGTGGCTGCAAATCAAGCTTGCTTGGTGGGCGGCATCAAGGGACGGCCCCGGAAAAGAGGAAACGAGCTACAATTAAAGTCAGATGCAGCACGCGATCATTCTCCGCATTGTCGCCATGGATAAGAGATGTAGATGTCGAAGTAGTGCCAAAAGAGGAGTCCGTCTAGACGGCGAGGAGACTGACAGAAATGGAAAGGTCGGCTTGGGATGAGAAAAGGTCAAACTGGTGAACGATGGTGCTAATCCTCACTAGGTCCGGTCAGGTCTGGCGGCGTCAGGATCTCAGAGCCAGACCCGCCATCTGGATGCGCTACTGCGCCAGCGGATGTCGGCGGACGCCTTGGCATTTCAACGGGTGTCGAAATTCGAGGGAAGCCGGCATCCTCTGCCCAAGTCAGGAACTCGCGATGCCATTACCAGGATCACCGACATTTAGCAGAGCTACGTTTTGACAAGAAAGACAAGGGACCCAGAAACCGCAACTAAATGCTAACCTTCGACACTGCGACAAAAGATGGCGTGCCACGGCCTCTGTCTGTATAAAAAGCAGTAGCAGCAAGAGAAGAGCAGCAGAGCAGCAGAGCAACAGAGGAGCCGACTCAATCAACATCGGCACAGACCCCCATAGCTTTTTCACCCTTCTCAGGCACCTTCACCTTTTTGATATCCTTGCTATATTCATCTCCACCCCGTCATGAAGCTTTCCTCTATTCTCGCCACCCTTGCGGGCCTGGCCGCGTCTGCCACCGCCTTCCGCGTATTTGACAACACGGCCTACACCAACACGTCCATCGGCTTTGGCACATCCAACATCAACTGGATCCCCAACTACGTCTGCTCGCCGCTGCTGGCCGCCGGCTCTCTGCCCAGCGAGGCGGTCTGGAAGGCCACCGTGCTCCAGTGGATTACCTACCCGGGCTACCCACTTGTTCTCGACTGCGAGCAGCTCTACTTTAACAATGCGGCCACCGCCGACATCAATCTGCTGTGGCTCTCCACACTGCAGACATGGGCCGCTCAGGTCCTGCCAGCCAACTCGATTGTGGGTTGGTACGGCCTCGTTGGCAACACGAACACGGCCTTCTACGACCATTACCGCACCCTCATTGCCAACCACACGCCCACGGCCTTTTTCCCCTCGGCCTACACCTTCACGAACAGCTTCTCGACCTGGAAGAGCTCATTGGCGACCGTGACGGCCACTGCCCATGCCATCAACAGATCGGTGCCCATTGTACCCTACACTTGGCCGCAATACCACGGCAACTATTCGTTCTTCCCTGTCGATCTGTGGCAGCAGGAGCTCACCTACCTGGCGTCCCAGAGTGCATCGCTGGCCGGCTTCATCATCTGGGGCGGCAAGAACCATGCCGTCTGCAACGACGCTTGCCAGGCGACGGCCGGCCAGCAGCCGTGGCTGAAGGCAACTCGCACGTTCCTGTCCTCGCTGTATGGCCTGTACAACGGTTCGCCAATGCTTCCTGGTGCCCAGGTGTTTTCGGGCCTGTAGATAAGGGTAGTCGGAGGATGGGACTATCCTAGGATCGGATGGGTTACAATGCCAAGGAGGAAAGTCCGTAAGTAAATACCATACTTTAAAGTGAACCTTCATAATGGTAGCATAGTGGTCATTACGTGAGAAGGCGAATCAAAGTGTACAAAGGATCATAAATTATGCCCAGTCATCCAAGTCAACTCTCTAGACATTAAGCGCCTACTTTATTATACAAATGCCAATGTCATACAAGCACTCCGCATTTCTATCGATTACCTACACCTTGGCCCCCACCTCTGTGTCCGCCTCCACAGGCTTCGTCTCCACCGCCGACTGCACATCCACCTCGTCGGCCTTGTCCACGGCTGCCAGCTCCTGGTCGTCAATCGTCTTGCGCACCGACAGCACGCTTGGGACCGCCACGGCCAGACTCGCCATGGTCAAGCCCCAGTTCATGTAGAACTGCGTGCGTGCGCTGACGCCCACGGCATTGATGCGCCACGCCATGGCACCACCAGCCGGTTTGAGCGCCGAGTACGTGCCCACAATGACGGCGTTGACCGTAGGGCTGTGTGACTGTGCACCAATGATCCAGTAGCAGAAGCCCTGGTACAGCGCGTCGTAGGCGCCGTAGAAGAAGTAGAGCAGCATGGGCCCTGCAGCGGTGCCGGACTGCGTGTAGTCGACGTCTTGCTTGAGACCCTTGGCGAAGCGCGCGTCCGCCCAGGTCTGGAACTTGTAGCCGGCTCCCCAGACGGCCATGCCGGTCGCGAACAGAATGGCCCATCCAACGAGGGCGCGCCTCGGGCGGCCACCCAAACGCGTCCAGTCGAGCACGGATCCCATAAACAGGCCACCAAACATTTGGGCGATCCAGTACAGCGCGCCGTTCAAGGCGCGCGTGCGCAGGTTGAAGACAAGGCCGTTGACGTCGTTTTGCTGGTACGAGTAAAAGATGTTGGCGTTGTAGAACATGGGATACAGGCAAGCCACGCGCCAGTCGACGACGATACGCAGCGTCTGCACAAAAGAGCGGCGCAAGTGCGCCCCCGTAATCGTCTTGGCCGCCGCAGTAACGCGCGCGCCGTTGTAGCGCTCCGACAGCGACTCAGCAGGCACGGCCAGGATCGAGAGCGCCCAGCCGAACAGCATAATCACCATGTACGCAATGTACGTCGAGTCGGTCACCGTACCGGATGACGAGTGGAAGTTGAGACCGAAGCTGGCCAGTGAGCCAATGGCGCCGCCGAGGTTGAAGATGATCCAAAACAGGCCAATGGCACGGCCGCGGGTGCGGTCGTCCGTGTACGTTACCATCATAGTGCCCTGGGCAACCCAGAAGAAGGCTGCGCCAAGACCAAGAAGCGCGCCCGCGGCAATGACAAAGCTACCGTTGCCCGTGCGATTGTAGTTGAGCAGCGCGCCAGCGTAGAGTGCATAGGTCCAGCCGCCAATGAGCAACGAGAGGCGCGGGCCCATGTACTTGTAAAAGGCGCCGACGAGGACCAGCGCGGCGGCAGCCGTGGCCGCGTGTGTGGCAACGTTGGAGTTGGCGGCCACGGTGCTGTTGACCTGGCCCGAGCCACCCATTCCTGTCAGGGCATTGTACATGCCGGGATTGCAAAAGGAGATGAAGGAGATGAGGCCGATCTGGAACCAAGGATCGTGCTGCAGGCGGTGGAAGACGCCATGCGCGCGCGACGCCTCGAGAGATACGTGCGAGGACATGCTGGCGATGGGAAATGTAGAGGCAAGATGCTGAAGCAAAGGTGAAAGTTGAAGGCGGAAGATTGAGTCGTCGGAACGGTGGTCAACAAGAACAAACACTCAAAGCAGACGCTATGCTTTGCCTTTGCCGGGACAAATCTGGACCCTGTCGTTGGTCCATGCAGAAATGTCACTGCATTTTATAAATCCTGAACAGTGCGTCGACCCCGAAATATGCAAACATAGGCATACGTGCGAAAAGAGAAGGTTGCTGTAAGTTACTGTCGCGTGGTTGACGGATCCAAATTGCAACCGTTTGCGAAAAAAAAAAATGGAGCCAAGAACCGAGCGGCGCCATCACATCATCGAGTAGCGGACGAAAGCGACATCCGCTATTAGTCGAATCTTGACTAAGGTGCGATATCCGAACCACACGCCGGCTGTCGTCACTTTCAACATCGCATCCGTGGTACTTACGACGTTCTCAGTCGTAAAAACAGCCTCCAAGAGAAGGCCCCCAGACATCACCGGTATCCGTTGCAGCGACGCATCTCGAGCAGAACCCTCGCTTTCCAATCTCCTATATCATGTTAGCTCAGATGACACCATTTTCCACGGCCATGTCCAGCATAGCATACGGTATTAAATCGGGAGCCAGTCCAGTTCCCGAACAAATTACTCGCTGCGTCGACGTGAGGCACGACAAGGACCATTCCTTGCCACGCTAAACATGTCAGCCACGATTGCGTTATCAGACCGTGGCTTCTCACCAACCAGACACGCAAACGGTCACGCCCGCGAAGACCACTCCATGAGCTTCCCTCTCGAACAAGACAAGACGTTGCAGAATGGCAATCACACTAGCAGAGGCGGCGGCAAACCGCATATGATGGGCCTGCAGGACAGTATGCCGAACGGCCACGCAGAGCCGGCTCGCCGTCCTTCGTCGCCTGGCTCGGAGCTCGATACTGTCACAGCTGAACTAGGCGACACCATATCGCTGAATCAGTTGCAGACGGAGAGCTGCGATGCAGCATGGGCCGAGCGCATCGACACCCTTGGCACAGCCGACTTGTGCGCTGAGTTCATCAACCACGAGTCCAGCGTACTACCCGCTATCACAGCTGCCTTGCCCGTCATTTCGGCGCTCGTGGACGCCCTTGTCAAGCGCTTACAGGCTGGTGGCCGCGTCTTCTATGTGGGTGCCGGCAACAGCGGTCGTGTCGCCTCCATGGACTGCTCCGAAATGGGGCCAACGTTCTCCGTCGACCCAAGTCAGTTCATTGCTCTCGTAGCCGGCGGCAGCCGTGCAGTGATGCAAGCACGCGAGGATGCCGAAGATTCGGAGTCTAATGGCGCTGCCGCGCTCGAGGCCATGCAGCCGAAGGCACAGGACGCCATCATTGGCATCTCTGCATCGGGCCGTACGCCGTTTGTGCTCGGGGCATTGCGGGCTGCACGCAACGCGGGCGCATTGACGGCAGGCATCACCAACTGCCAGCCATCGGGTTTTGGGCGCTTGGGAGTCCAGTACTTGGTCAAGGCGTTGACGGGGCCGGAGTTTATCGCCGGTAGCACTCGACTCAAGGCTGGCACGGCGGCAAAACAGATACTCAACATGGTTAGCACCATTACCATGGTGCATCTCGGCAAGACATACCGCGGGTTGATGCTCGATGTGCGCGTGCGCAACCACAAGTTACGGGTACGCGGCCGACGCATACTCCGTCAAGTCTGCGGTGGAGGTCCAGCCTACCTACTTGGCAAGGTAGAAACATACAGCACCGGCCGTTCGTCACTATCCACACCGCAAGATGTTAAATCAATACAAATACCACATCTAGTCGATCTCTCGTCGCCTTCCGCAGATGCAGCCATTGACTCTCACATCCAACTCTGCCAGGCCAACGTCAAACTGGCTTGTGCAGTTGCAGTGTCAGGGCTCGACTTAGCAGCTGCGCTCGAACGCCTCGAACGCATCAATGGCCGCTTCTATGAATTCCTGGCCCTATCGCAGCCATCACCCCTTCTCTTGCCCAGCCAAAATGACGAGCTCGTGCTCGCCATTGACGGTGGCGGTACAAACTGCAAGGTCGCCGTGGCCACACGGTCTGGCCAGATCGCGCACGGCGAGGCCGGCGCGTGCAATATCACCTGCGCGACTCCCGACGAGCTGGTGACACAGATTCGCACGGCAACCCTGAGTGCCCTGACGAATCTGCGCAATAACCAGACAGGGCCCAGCACCCAAAACAAACAGCAGTGTCTTGTTCCCGAAACAGATGTCCCACGATTCTCCAGGGTGTGGGCCGGAATATCCGGCCTTCACTACTCATATAACCCTGCTGCACTTGCGTACCGACTCGAAACCCTGCTGTCTGTCTCGGTTCGCGACGGCAGCCTGCGAATGACGAGTGATGCGCCTCTCCTCGGAGCCTGTGTCGGTGTCGACGACAGTGTACAGGGTGGCCTGTGTGTTATTGCCGGAACGGGGTCGGTAGCCGTGGCCGTGCGCAAGAGGCCCGACGGTTCCGTCGATCAGGTCAGTCGTGCTGGCGGCTGGGGCCATCTGCTGGGCGATGATGGCAGCGCTTTTGACATCGGCCGGCGGGCACTGCAGGCCGTGCTCGCAGACATGGCGCTCCTGGCGGACGAGGCTGGCCTATTTGGAGAGGATCTTCCTGACCAAGGTCATGCTTCCGACGAAGCATCTGGCCTCGAGAAGGCTGTGCTGGCAGCACTTGGTACGAACGACCCTGCACAGCTCTTGCCGCTCATCTTGTACAACGCAGATCGCGAGCCCAAGCATCAGATTGCTGAGGTCGCGCGCGTCGTCACCGCACTAGCATTTCCTGATGACGATGATGCCGCACCCGACACCCAGGCACTTGGCATCCTCCAGGACGCCGCTTCGAGCCTCGTTGTAAGCATCAAACGCCTCGCCACGTCACGCCTGTGCACACCGAGCTCGGACATGCTCATCTTGTCGGGCGCGATGCTCAACCTAGCGCCATACCGTGCACTCTTCCTCGATGCATGGGAACGCCAGGGGTTACCAGCGTTCAGGAAGACGATCGTTGTCAAAAGTGCCTCGGAATGGGCTACGAGGTTCCTGCTCCGACAGACAGCGAGCTAGGCGAGCGTGCCAGTTCGCCAGAAGAGAACAAACGTTTGTATATAGTACACAGCTTGCAATCTTGTAAATTATGAGGCGTGTGTTTGTGTTTTGAGTGTCTACAATTTTACCCAAATTTCAGAGTTCTCTTTTCTCCTGTTTCTCTCGTTTGCTCCTTCCTTACCTTCTAAATGTTTGTTGCTCGTAATTGCGTCCATTGGACCTTCTTAGGCCCATACAATAACCGCTACAGTGGCCGTTGTAGCGGCAGGAACGAGGCACACTATCACTAAACCCCCCTGTACCTGCCTGTATTGTTACCTATTTGGCCCAAGAAACCCCTGACCATCACGTGGCCCGTGCACTGCCGCGTTCACTACCACACATTAAGCTTCCCAACGTCAACGTCACCTCTTCAAACTAACCGTCTGCTATCCGGCCTTGGATCACTAACATCTCGACTCAAAGCACCACAGCCTACCCTTTGCGTGAGTGGCCTGTTCGGCCTGCCCCATTTCCCACCATGACGCGCCGCACATACAACATCGCCATGGTGAGCGACTTCTTCTTCCCGCAGCCCGGCGGCGTCGAAAGCCACATCTACCAAGTCGCATCGAAGCTCATCGACCGCGGCCACAAGGTCGTCATCATCACGCACGAGTACGGTGACCGCAAGGGCGTGCGCTACCTGACCAACGGCATCAAGGTGTACCACGTGCCATTCCTCGTCATCTACCGCTCGACCACGTTCCCGACAGTCTTCTCCTTCTTCCCCCTCTTCCGCAACATTGTCATCCGCGAGCAGATTGACATTGTGCACGGCCACGCCAGTCTCAGCAGTCTTTGCCACGAGGCCATTCTGCATGCGCGCACCATGGGTCTGCGCACCGTCTACACAGATCACTCGCTGTTCGGATTTGCGGACGCTACGAGCATCCTCGCCAACAAGCTGCTCAAATTTGGGCTCAGCGATGTCGACCACGTCATCTGCGTCAGCCATACTTGCAAGGAGAACACGGTGCTGCGGGCATCGCTCGACCCGCTGCTGGTGTCGGTTATCCCCAACGCTGTGGTCGCAGAAAACTTCAAGCCGCTGTCAACCGAGGAGCAGCAGCACCTGCAGAGCCAGTACCAGGACCGTCACCACCGGCGACACACGAGTCAGGACAGCCAGGCAAGCCAGGGCAACAAGGCAACAGCAAGCGAAACACAACAGTCCGGGCCATCCAGTAGTTTGACTAGCAATGTATCAGGGAGTGGGCCGCTGTCATCACAACATCCGACGCTGCACCGCCCGTCCTCGTCCTCGTCCACGCAAAATGGCACCTCGCCTCCCAAACCATCGTTTGTCAGCCAGGCGGCTTCGCCGCCCACGCCCGCCCACCTTCTCAGCCCACACGATCCCATCACAATCGTTGTCATCTCCCGCCTCTTTTACAACAAAGGTACCGACCTTCTCGTCGCCGCCATTCCACGCATCCTCGAAAACCACCCCAACACACGCTTCATTATTGCCGGGTCCGGCCCCAAGGCCATTGACCTGAAACAAATGATTGAGCAGAACGTGCTGCAAGACCGTGTCGAAATGCTCGGACCCGTGCGCCACGAGGACGTGCGCGACGTGATGGTCCGCGGCCACATCTATCTGCACCCCAGTCTGACCGAAGCCTTTGGCACTGTCATTGTCGAAGCCGCCAGCTGCGGGCTGTACGTCGTGTGCACGCAGGTTGGCGGCATTCCCGAAGTTCTGCCGTCGCACATGACCGTGTTTGCGCGGCCCGAAGAGGACGACCTGGTGGCCGCGACAGGGCGTGCCATTGGGGCGCTGCGGGCCAACAAGGTGCGCACAGAGCGCTTCCACGAGCAAGTCAAGGCCATGTACTCATGGACCAACGTAGCGGCACGAACCGAGCGCGTCTACAACGGCATCACGGGCGCCATCAGCGAGGCCGAGTTCTACGGTTACGACATGGCCACGAACAGCGGCAACGGCGGTGGTGGTACGGCGGGTGGCTGGAGCGCGACGCGTGGGCGTTCGGGCGTGCAGAGCTTTGCGCTCATTGACCGCCTCAAGCGGTACTACGGCTGCGGCATCTGGGCTGGCAAATTATTTTGCCTGTGCGTGGTGATCGACTACCTATTGTACCTGTTTTGCGAGTTCTGGTGGCCACGCGACCGCATCGACATCTGCCCGGACTGGCCACGGAAAACACTACAGCCACAACAAGAGAAGGAGCATATCCGTTGAGAGGAGAAGGAAAGCGGAGAAAGCAAGAATTGAGTCGCTTCGACGATGACATGATACCCACACTCACAAACAACAAGACGAACACTGTGACACGTCGACTCTTGGTCTTATACGTTAGGCATAGCAAATAGATAATGTTTTATAAGAAGCTACACAGTTGTATTGCTCGTAATCTCCAAGTTTGTTCAAGATGAAATAGACGTTCACACAGCTTTGCGTTTGTAAATCTCCTTTATTGATTTGCTTATGTGGACAATACATTTTAGTTCATTATTACTACTTTATTATAGTAAATAAATGACCTTTGACTAGATTTAAAGAGAGAAGAAAAAAAAAAAAAAAAAAAAAAGGAAGAAAATTTGCCTCTGATAAGTTAATACCGAGAACGCAGCTAAACTGCTCCGTTCGGAAGTTATTGAGCAAATGGAGCTTCCGTTTCTTAAAGCTCATTTTGACGTGGCAGTCTCAACATTAAGCTAAAATTGGTAGATCAGTCTCCTTCACATTTCACCATCGCGGTGCCCTGTTTCTGCCACTCTTCACCGCCATTATTTTTTGCTCCTGCGTCCCTATTTCAACAGCTAGAAAATTCTTTTTTCTCCAATTTCTACTTTTCTTCACCTCATCCGTTCTTCATTTCTGGATAGTTTTTGCACCCAACCAAACCAGCCGGCACCCCCCAGGGTCACAAACCACGAGACGGCTCCCACTGCCATCTGGCAAGGGACAAGCTCTTTCTGCCTTTCGATTGATCGAAACCGAAAACGTATTGCGACGTCCCTTGACGACAGCAGAAATGCGTCTCATCCTCGTCCGCCATGGCGAGTCAGTCGACAACGTGGCTGGTCTCTAGTCAGTGCAGAATTGAGTTTCCTGCTTTTCTTTTTCTGGTTTCTTCTCGTGTTTTGCCGCTCGTTTTTAAGGCCTGTTCTTTCCCGAACTCACGCGTCTTCTCGTCTTTTTTCTTCTTCTTCTCTCTTCTCCCGACTGCAGTGCTGGTTCTCGCGACTCTGCCCTGACTGCGCATGGCGTTCTCCAGACACAGCGACTGGGTGCCCACGTTGCTGCGCTGCCGTCGGCGACTGGCTCGTCGGCCGATACCATTGTCATCACGCACATCTTTTCGTCGGATCTTCAGCGCGCATTTGCAACGGCCTCGGCCATCCTCGACGCCCAGAAGAAGCGAGGCGGGAGCGAGGCGTGCGCGGCGATGGACGTGGTCAAGTCGGTCGACTTGCGCGAGCGAGACTTTCGTTCGGGCGAGGGCGTCCGATTTGGGGCACCGGCTGCGGGCGACGTTGATGGAGGCCGAAATGCCTTTGCCGATGCCGAGTCACGGGACGAAATGCGCGTGCGTGCAGAGCGGTTTATCGACACGCACCTGCATCCTCTTCTGGATGCTGGTGCAGACGGCCCACTCAAGGATGTTGATCGTCGAAGGGCCATCGTGGTTGTGGCACACGGTCTTATCCTGAACGTGGTCCTGTCGTCGTTGCTACAGCATTATGCGCCGTTGGAGCTTGCACGTCTGTTGCCACCGTCCCTGGCTGTCGGCGGTAGTGAAGCAGCACAGCGAAGACGATTAGAACTGCGTGTTCCCTGGAGCAATACGGGGTATCTCGTTATGTCTGTGACCAAGAGGAAGACCGAGGAGACGGAGGACGAAAAGAACGGGGACACCGCTCGGCGTGCTGATGGTATCCGACTGCAAGTTACGAAAGTAAACTGTGTGGAGCACCTTGACGGGCTGAAAAAAACTCGTGGTGGCATTGGTAGTGCTCGGTTTGACCCGACGCAGAAGACGATGGACGCCTTCTTTGGTCCTTCTGCCCAGAAGCGGAAGCGAGGGGATGGTGCGTGAGAGGACTGGTGGCCGGCCGGCGACGCTTCTCACGCCCATCTTAATTGGTACGTGCTTTCTTTCTTTCTTTCTTGTTCTGTGTCCTCTTTACCGCTTGCTCGACTTCTATGATGAGAAAACACTTTTCACAGACCTGTTCTGAATTTCATGTGGATAAATAGTCCAACCGCTATCTGACAGTTGTCTTGCTTGCACTTTTCGTTTTGTTAACTACTTGATTCTTTTGAGTATCAAAGACTAACTGTTGACAGATCCTTCCCAAGATGCATAATGTAACGACTGATGACTCTAAGACAGTAAATATGAATATAATTTCACAATATTGATTGTTTATGCAACTAATCCGTTCTATTGCATTCGTAATATTCGTGACGTTGTGATCATTGTCCACGTAGATCCAAGTTATCATTCACCCCGACTTCAATCGCTGTCCTCCTCTTTTATCTCGACGTCTTCTGCCTTCACCTCTACGTCTCCATTCTCCCCGTTACCTCCTTCGGCCCCGTCGCCTCTATCCCGTCTTTCTCCTGCTTCAGAGGGCAGCTGTCGCGGAAACCAGCCGTACCGCTTCAGGTCCACCGACAGCTCTCCCATCGCATCCGCAATCACATCCACGCCTTCTGCCTGCAACGCCGCCGCCTGTCGGTTCCGGCTGCCTGCTCCGCCCGCGGCTAATCCGCGAGGCGAGATGACGCCTTTGGCACTGATGACGCGCTGCCATGGCACCGTGCCCGTGTGAAAGCGTGACAGCATGCCCTCCGGGACGCTGCCCTCTTCAGGTAGGTGTCGCAAGCAGATGCCAATCTGGCGGGGCCGTTGTGCTGCAGTAGGGGTCAGCGACTGACTTTGGCATAAAGCGGTCAAGGTGAACGCTGTAAAACTCACGGGTTCCGATGAGTTTTGCTATGTGTCCATAACTGGTCACTTTCCCATAGGGCACCTCTTGAATGGCGCTGTAGGCGGCAAAGAAAAACGACTCGGCCTCGTCAGATCGTGGCATTGCTGATGGTGGTTGTTGTCACGAGAGAGAGAAAATGCTGCAAATGGCTGGAAGCTCTGGGGATGTGATATTTTTGGTGGTGACTTGTACCTAACATTCACATGCCTCGTTGTAGCGCTAAAATAGCCCGCAATGGCCTGTGTAAGACGTTGCTAAAATAACGGGTAGCATTCCCAAGGGTCGTTGTATTGGCTGGACTTGCCTTTTTCGAACGACTCATTCCAGCCCCTGCACAGCGCAAGTTTCGTTTCCTTGTTTGTTTCGAAATATCTTCGTTATAATATACATTCACGTCGAGATGGCACGGGATACAGCTAGTCATGCAGAATCCCATTGATACCGATCACAGGTAAGCCTGACGGCGATGCTCTGAACCCTTTTCCCACTGTTGTGACTGTGGTCGACTGTGGCTTTTGAACCTATCGTGTGGCTTTCTTTTCCCTTGAATTCCTGTTAGGCCTTGGTATTTATTCCGAGGGCTTCATGTCAACCTTTCCCTGCTTGATGTTTATGAACACTCGCCCCATTCGCACGGATCCCGCCCGTACTCGACGTGCACCATCTTGCGCTCCTGGTTGAGCGCCATTTTGGCTGCAATGGCCTGGCTCTGGAAACTCGCAAACCGCCACTCCATTGTCTGCTCGTCGCCCAACGCGCCACCGCTCGACGGACGATTGCTTCTGGAACCACCGCTGCTGCTGCTGCTGCTGCTGCTGTCACCGTTTGCTGCCGGGCTTGGCACGACACGCACGTCCTGCAACTCGTAGCGGAACTTTTCGTCAAAGTACGCGGCCAGCGCCTCAAAGTTGACGACGTCTGCAGGGCCCCGGATCCGCAGCACGCGACATTCACTTGCCTGTACGCACTGCCGTGGCGGCTTCTTGTCGCGGTTCCACGCGCAGCGGATGGGGAAGGGGCGGCCACCACCACCCACCGCACCGGGGTGAGCGGCGCCCGCAGTTCTCGAGTCCAACAGGACGAGCTGCTGCGCGTCGATGAGGGCCTTGAGCCGCTCGGCCTGCTGGCGCGAGAAAAAGGAAATCTTGGCGGCGGCCAGTGGCAGGCGGCGGGCTGGGTCGGGCGGATTGACAGAGGCGGCATAGATGCGGCCCGTGGGGCCCAGGGCAGCAACGGCACGCAGGAGGTCGCCCACGGTAGCCTGCGGCGGCAGGCCCATCAGAAAGAGCGAGGTGTTGAGGTGGGCGGGGACGTGGTCGCCGCGGTTGTGTGGGTTGCGGATGTCGCCGCGGTAGTTGAGACTGATGCCCTGCTGGCGACGGAAGACCTGTTCTTCTAGCGGAAGGACGGGGGCGCTTCCATACAAGGCCACCATTGAGGCCGCAGACAGGGATGACGGCGATGACGACAGGGGCGGCCGGCATTGGGGATACTGTGAGGTTGATGACGATGACCCGCGTCGAGCAGTGGCAACGATAGTTGCTGCAGGTGCCTGCTGGTGCATCATAGCATCGCGAAACGCCGTATCTGTTGTCGCAGCTGTCATGGCCGTGGTGGCTGTCCCGGTTCCTGTTCCGCCGCTGTTGCTCATGCCCGTGCTACTAGCCGAGGTCCGCCGATGCTCGCGGAAGACCATCTGCATGGGCTTGAAGGTCTTTGTCACTGCAGGAGCGGTAGTAGTGGGAGGCGCAACAACCGGTGGATTTAGTTGTGGCTGCTGCCGCTGCTGCCGCTGCTGCCGCTGCTGCTGCTGCTGCTGCTGATGGAGATGGAGATGGAGATGGAGTTGATATTGCCGTTGGTACTGACACATGACTTGCGGCTCTGCTGGAAATGCTTCGGGCCAATGCAGTCGCTCGTCGCACTGCACAGCTTGGGCGGCCTTTTGCTGGGCTGTCAGGCAGGGAAACGACAAAGAATGACAGGAAAGACGAGGCTGGCGTGATGTTGTCGGCCGTGGTAGGGGCTCAACACCGTCATCGTCAAGGACGCCGGGCAGCCACATTGGAGGCAGCACAAAGTTGTTTTGCTTGTGATACGGCTGGTCATCCGTTTGCCTAGGAAAGAGGGTGAAATCGTCGTCCTCGTCTGGATCGTCACAGTCTGCCACGGCCGCGTTCCAGTAGTCATCGAGCCGGAACGATGAAGACGAGGCCTCGCTCGCGCGCCGTGGCCACAGTTCGGCAATTTTCGGCACCATCGTTACATCGCTGGGATGAGGACATTGCCACAGACCAAAGCCGTTTCCGCTGCCTTTGTCACTTCCCATACTGCTCCCGCTGAGGCTGATACGGTGACTTGACTCGTATGCAGTACTAGAGGAGGCCGGTAGTTGCTGCGAATTCCGCCTCGGCAATAGAGCCGTGTGCGGCAGTGCCGTTGGTGACGGCCACATCGGCGAGCACCATGGGCTTCTTTCTGCTGCTGCCACCGCCGCTGCTGCTTGTGCCCGCCTACCAGCATGTTCTGCCTCTTGGCTGTGAAGTGGGCTCCTCATGTGGTCTTCCGTTTGTTGTGTCCGTTTGTTGTGTTGCGGGCGAAGTTGCTTTCGTCTTCTTCCGTGCCCAGGACGTCTCGAGGAAGTCCTTCCAAGTTTTTCGTTCTCGTTCTATGTGCCTCTTTTGTCTTCCGAGGCTTCGCGGTTGTTCTTTGATTTTACACTGCGATACCGAGCCAATGTGCCTGTCAGTTGGATTCGTCGTTGGTTTCAAGTGAATGAGTGTGCACAGTGATTTGTGGCTTTTCCTGTTCAAGTTGCAAAGCGTGCCAAAAAGTCGTCAGCAGTGTTTTGGCGTCTTCGTAATGGGCACGCACACGACCATTCAGATAAGTAGAAATGCGGTGTTGATGATGTCCTGTTTACTGACTTCTGGACTGTGCTCGGCGGTCGCGCGGGAAGATGCATTAAGCCATGGGTGGTAGTATGTTATAATGTTTTTTCTGTCTCGATCACCCCGTTCCACTCCCATCTCGATGCTCTCGTACAGTTGCTCGGCACGCTTTACAAACTTTCAGGGTTGTCCTACAAAAGGGTCGAACACAGCACAAAAGTACTCTGGCCGAACGTGGCCGGACCCGGCCATGATTTACACTATATGCGGTTTGGGCCACAGTACCGGAAACTAGCGGATCCGCCTTCTGTTTTGGGGATCTGGGGATCGCGGGTACGCCTCTAGGATGCAATGGATTATTTTATGCTTTTTGTATTGGTCTGCGTCAAGACCGTCCAGTCGAGAGAGAAAGTGAGGAGGTGCTGTAGGACTTTCAAGTCAGTCGGTGCTGTGAGTTACTTCGCAGGACGGTTTGTCGGAGCCGCTAGAACTGGCCCAGCGGCAGTCGCCCGGAGGCGCCCCTGCCACTAGAATTAGCGCGCTATGTCAGGGTGCGAAAGCTGCCATGTTACCGCTAACGCTGTCATTTTTGGTAATGAAAGTCGAGACTCATGTTGTCAGTTCCGTGCGACTTTGTTTCCTCCAGCTGAGGTTGATTCACTTGCAGTCAATTGCCTGCACAGAAATATCGAGTGATCTATTCCGGTCGTGACGGAGGTATTAGACCCACTTTTACGTACTTCGTACCTTCTGTGCACATTCCAGCTGCGATATGGATCCACATGGCGTCCACCAAAGTAGGTAAATCTGTGATATTCCACGGCTGCCGCTCGGTCCGCTCTGGGGAAGTGTACCGAAAGAACAAGCCAAGTGCGATCTCGCTATCTGCAGACTGTATCAAATCCCGCTGTGTGACTGTTTTGACAGCTTCATCCTCTTCTACCACCCTCTGTTCGGGCTTGGTGGTCGCTGTGGCTTCTGTGGCTATTGTGGCGGCAGCAGAGCGCTGTCGGTTTCTGATTGGCTGCTGGGTCTTGGGCTGCGGCTAAACGCGAGCAAGCAGGAAAGAGCGACCAACGTATCTGAGCGATACCTGCTCCGTGCTCCATATTCCATGGAAGTAAGCCGGTACGAAACTGGGAAATGGCCGCGTGAAATCTGCGACAAAAGCGAGCGTATCTATGGACATTGGGCGAAGGCTGAAACGATCACACACAAACCATAATGCAAGAAATGCAAGAATACAAGAAATGCGGGCAGCACTGCGTATCTTACAAGCAGTTCAAACAGCGCTTTGAGAAACGCGTCCAAAGGCGCGCAAAACAGGAAGGAACCAGGCAACGCCTGCCAAACAATGATGGGATGACGTCTGATGCTGCCGTGCCGTTGCATTCGCCCGTCTGTTGTCGCAATCGTTCGCTCTTGCCCTTTGGGTTGGCATCTGCGCATTTGTAACTTAGTCAGCTATTTTCGACGCATCCATGAGCCTCTCTGCCTCTCTCGTTCTCCGACTGCCGATGATACGATTGAAATTGCGATTCTTTGGTCGTGCTGGGCCCAACGTATTCCCAAGCCGTGTACGTACACAGCAATAGTGGGTGACAAGTCGCAGCCCCAGTTGACTCAAGCCTGACGGAACTGGCGTAGTGCGCGTGGAGTGGGATGATGGATGCCCAAAGCAAAAAGCACCCAATTTCGCTCTCGTAGCGCTGGGCCGCTGACAAGCGCTTCTGCATGCGCTGGGCGCCTGCTGCTCTTGCTGTTCCTCCCCTCTGTGCAAGCCCAGCCGCACCGCAATTCCCCCCTCCTTGGGCCTTTCCAATCACCACTCTTTCCCGCACGCCCTTCCCTCTTCCCCTGTTAATACGAATTATTACCTTACCTCTCACTAGCCAAGCACGTTGTAGACTGGCGGCGTAAAATGCACGCAAATTACAAAGGGCTCCCAACACAAAACATCTCCGCAAGACTTAGCGGAGGGACAAGCCACAAACTTTTCGCGGTTCCCCAAGGCAGGGGAAATAGAGCAAAAGAGGACGAGATAGAAAAAAAAAATCGTCGCTTTCCCGCAGCACCTGCGACCACCCTTCGCACCTCGTCCTCTGCCTTTCTCCTCTCGTGGCGTCCGAGGCACGCGAAAGCCCCCGTTTGGCTCATCTTCTGTCTGCGGGTTTCACTCTTGTATCCCAGCGCCCACGCTTCTACAGGGCTACTATAGGGCGACAGGGCTACAGGCAACAGGTACAGGCACAGGCACAGGCGGTTGCCCCCTTTCCCCTCCACTCTCTCCCATTCCCGGCGGTCCCTCCTCCCTACTCCCTTTTTATTTCTGCATCGCTAAGCAAGCTTGCGGGTTTCAGCTTCTTAGCTGCGTACCTCTCTCCTTTCGGCCGCCCAACAACGACACATCGACGAGAGCGATCGATCCGACGACGCTTTTGTTGCTTTCCCGCTCTCTTTTTGGCGCCGTGACGCCGTGACGCCTCTCTCGACGCGCTCGCCTCCGCTTTAGACTCGACGAGACGCGCCCAGCCGAACGCCCATCGACACTGCTCCAAGCTGAAGCTGGCCGAACTACATTTGCGTTGGACTGGCTGGACGTTGTATACCGACTCTGCTGCACCTCTCGAGATCCCGGACGCGCCTGGGCTCTTCGCCCTCCACGTCTCCCATCGCCGTCTCTCTCGTCGCTTCTCGTCCCCCAGGTTGCCCGACACCTCTCGACGATTGAGCTTGCCATCAATCCGCCACGATGGATCAATGGCCTGCATACTCCGAGCCGTCCGGCAATGGCTCACGGCAGTATAATGGTAGCAACCATGTTGGGCGGGAATACAGTAGTGGCGGTCCGTCGCAGCAACAGCAGCAGCCGCCACCGCAGCAGCAGCAGCAGCAGCACCGCGCCCCGCCTTCATCGCAGCAGTACTCGGGAGGCGGCGGTGCCGGTCTGGCCGCACAGAACCTGCCAGGCTCGCCCATGATCACTAGCCCGCAATCCATCCGCGACAACAATGGCGACATCCCAATGCACGATGCAGCCGCCGCCGCAGCCGCCGCCGCCGCCGCGTCTGGTGGGAACCACGATCCCTACGCTGGCGTCAAGTATCCCATCCGTCCTCACCATCATCATAGCCTGTCCAGCAGCGGCCCTCTGGGCGGTGGCCGCTCGTCGGGCCTGCACTCGCCTCACGAGCTTTCCCAGGCGGCCCAGCGCTACTCGCCCATGGAGGCGCTCTCGCCCACCTCTCCGTACACCCCCTACGCCCCGAAATCCGGACAGACCTCGTCTTCGGCCGCCCAATACACTCCGGCTGGCCAGCAACAGACGCAGCGTCAGTCACCCGCTCGGCCGCAGGACGGCTATGCACCCCAGAGCAGCCCATATCACCCTCAGAGCCCGTACTACGGTGGCGGCAGTCGCCAGTCATCCCAGGGCCCATCCCAGCAGCAGCAGCAGCCACCACCATTGCTGAACTTGATACCCGTCGGCAGCGACCTCTACTCGCCGGCGTCGAGCGCTCTCTCGCCCATGGACAGCACGTACGGCGACCACAAATCGCCTCGGCGGCCACAGTTGCCCGCCATGACGCTGGCCAACAGCAGCGGTGGCAGCAGTACTTCTGGCGGCAAGCCGCCTTCCAGCGTCGTTCCCGAGTTTAAGAAGCTCCGGGCCGTCAACGAGCTGCGGCCCACTGTCAATACCCAGCCGCCATTCCGGCGAGCGAACCCTGAGGGCGGATTCATCAGCGTGAGTGTCCTTCTGTACTTGCTTATGCCTACACCTTGTGATTCTGCTGCTGACGATTTTGTTACATTCTAGCCCCTGCAAGCTCTCACTGTCCATTTGCCGGCGACCTACCGGATTTGCAACCCCCATTTCAAATACGAGTCGTCGCGCAATCCCCGGCGAGTGCTCACCAAGCCCAGCAAGGGTCTCAAGAACGACGGCTTCGACAACGAGGACAGCGACTACATCCTCTACGTGAACGACATTCTCGGTTCCGAAGAAGCAGGACACAAGAACCGCTACCTCATTCTCGATGTTCTTGGCCAAGGTACTTTCGGCCAGGTGGTCAAGTGCCAGAATCTCAAAACACAAGAAGTCGTTGCCGTTAAGGTCATCAAGAACAAGACAGCCTACTTCAACCAGAGTATGATGGAGGTGTCTGTCCTGGATTTGGTACGTTGGCCCCAAAGAGTGTTTCCTCTTCAACTTGCTTAAACTCGTCCCCTTGCAATGGCCCCATGTGTGCTCCCTGCTGACAGTCGCGCGTCAGCTCAACACGAAGCTCGACAAAAACGACGACCACCATCTCCTGCGCCTGAAAGACACATTCATCCACCGGCAGCATCTTTGTCTCGTCTTCGAGCTACTGAGCGTCAACCTGTACGAACTAATCAAGCAGAACCAGTTCCGCGGTCTCAGCACAACGCTCGTCCGCGTCTTCGCGCAGCAGCTCCTCAACGGCCTTGCCCTGCTCAACAAGGCTCGCCTGATCCATTGCGATCTGAAGCCGGAGAATATTTTGCTTAAGAACCTCGAAAGTCCAATCATCAAGATTATCGATTTCGGCTCCGCCTGCGACGAACGCCAGACGGTCTACACGTATATCCAGTCGCGCTTCTACCGCTCACCCGAGGTCCTGCTGGGCCTACCATACTCCTCAGCTATTGACATGTGGTCGCTCGGCTGTATCGTCGTCGAGCTGTTCCTCGGTCTGCCCCTGTTCCCGGGCTCGTCTGAGTACAACCAGGTTATGCGCATCGTCGAGATGCTTGGCAACCCGCCAAACTGGATGATCGAGATGGGCAAGCAGGCCGGCGAGTTTTTCGAGCGGCGCGCCGACGAGTTTGGCCGTCGCACCTATCAGCTCAAGTCAATGGAGCAATACTCACGGGAGCATGGCACCAAAGAGCAACCTAGCAAGCGCTACTTCCAAGCCACGACGCTTCCCGAGATCATTAAGACGTACCCTATGCCACGGAAGAACATGAAGCAGAGCGAGATCGACAGAGGTTCGTGTTTTTTTTTTTTTTTTTTTTTCCAACTTCCCATGCTTCCTACTAACGCCAACCCCAGAAATGAACAACCGCATTGCGTTCATTGACTTTGTCCGGGGCCTCCTGACGATCAACCCTCTGGAGCGATGGTCCCCACAGCAAGCGAAGCTACATCCCTTCATTACACAGCAAAAATTCACAGGCCCCTTCGTCCCGCCCATGAACCTAAAGTCGAGCTCCCTGAATCGGTCACCGGCTCCCGGCACACAACAGCAGCAGCAAGCCGAGGCCATCAGCAAGCAGCGGGCCCAGGCTGCGCAGGCACAGGCAAACACCGCTGCCCAGAACGCCTACGCGATGAGCGCCAACTCATACCAGCAGCAGCAACAACAACAACAACAACAACAACAACAACAACAACAACAACAACAACCGCCCCCGCCCCAGGTCCAACATGGCCAGCCGGGCCTGCCTCTCTACAACACCGGCAACATGTACGCACCCAGCAACAGCCACGTCCAAGCACAACCGCAGCCGCCACCATACGCCGGGGCACCCCAGAACCCGTACGCCGGCATGGGCATGGCACAACAGGGCCCGCCACAAATAGCCTCGGCCGGCGGCTACGGGTCGTCCATGGGAGGCGCACCTCAGAACCCGTACCAGCAGCAGCAGCAACAACAGCAGCAGCAGCCAAACGCTGCGGGGGCACGCTCTAGGCAGCGCGCGTCGACAATGGAGCAGCAGATGAGCGGCATTCCGGCGGCGATCCAGCGAGTCGCCAGCCACCTTGACCCGACGCAGCCCATTCGCCTGCAGCCGAGCCCGGCCTACTACCCGCCGCCATCAGACGGCATGGGTTTGGACCAGTCCGGCCGGCCGGTCCGCCGCGGCAGCCGTACCACGCAGATGGGACCTGGTCCGAGCGGCATGGGCGCCGGCGGTGGGATGGGTGCCGGTGGCATGGTCGGCGGAGGTATGAGCGGCAGTGGCAACTCGGGCCGTGGCGGCAGCAACCGCGACTTTATTCGCAACCTGGAGGAGCGGACTCTGGAGGAAGGCTTTATGGGCGGCAACGGTACTTGGCACTAAATGGATATGAAAATGAGGTCAACCGAAGGGGGGTGGGTGCATTTCCCCACTAGTTTTTATTCTTGTTCTCATTTTTTGGAGCCGAGGGCACTCCTGTTACCACCTTCTTCGCGGTAGAAGATGGATACACCGTTCAAAACAGGAGACCAGGGGTTGCTTGGAAGGAGAGGGGAGAATGGGGTCGGACACGGCATAAATCATTGTACAGGACATGGAATTGGGGGCTATTTGGAGATGGCTCAAAAGACATCGTGTGGATTTTCTGGTTTGTTTCCGTTACGTTCTATTTTGCTGCCTGGCAGTGTGCGGGCATGAAGTCGAGGTTATCTCGTATGCCTCTTGGCTTTTTCCAATGTCTCGGCTATTGTCGCCTTCTTTTTTTTCAATTTCTCTTTTTCAATCGCATCATCATCACCAGTCTGCCGCTCTGATCCATTTCGTCGATGTCTCTCTCATATTGTCCCCCTCCCATCATTTCTACAATGTGCGACAGGGTCAAAATGCTTTCTTTTCTGCCCCTCTTCTCTTCACGCCTCTTTTTTGTACCGTAGGACATCTTTATACATTCTGTCTTGTCCCTTATCTTAGGTGTCACGAGCACCCCAGACATTATAAAGCGTTTCACAAACAAAGATCTCGATACCTATTGTGCTTCTCATTCTCTTTACGCACATATACGTATTGTTCTCCTTTTGCAGCTTGAAGAAGGCTAGATAAAATAACCTTTGAAGTCCCAACTTCACTGTTGAGTTTTATACCATTTGGAAATAAAAACGAGACGCGCTGGATCACTTAGGCAAGTACTAATAATGCAAAGACTCGGTGTTATTCCGGCAAGAGAAAGTCGTGTTTGTTCAGGACCTTAAGAGAACCATAGAGGAAACCAGAGGAGACAAAAGAAAAGAGTAAGATAACCATGGGAAGAGGACACGTAGAACTCAACATGTGATCATAAAAAAAGAAGAAAAGAGAACAAGTTAAAATAGCAGTCCCAAGTTCAGCCGAAAGTACACACGAACGTACGAGCAGGCGATGATAAAATTATAAGAGAGCACGCGGAGCAGAATAACGGCACCAGGTGAGCGGCTCCCCCACTCATTTCCTAATGATAAAACCGGACCCAAAAAAACAAGCAATGAACCCCTGCGTTCCTCTGTCCTTTTCCTTCCCCGTTTATCCATAATGAGCCTTGCTTAGACGGCGCCTCCTGCGGCAACCGGGGCATTGTCCAGGTCGCCATAGTTGAGAGTAATTTCCCTCGTTGTCCGCTCCTTGCGCCAGGTCGACACGTCCCACACAATGTAGAAGCCACGCTCGTGGTTCATGCTAAGGACTTGCGGCATCATCAGGTCGTCTTTGGTAAGCCAGACCTGCTGCCGCTTGTGCCACCGCCAATTGCGGTTGTTCCTGAGGGTGTCAGTGCTTATACTTGCACAGCGGCGCGTTTTGTTTTCGATTCTCCCAGGACATACAGTTCAATGGCAGCAAGTTGCTGCTTGATGTCGTTTGGACACGAGTAAAAGATCCACATCAGAGTCTCCTCGTTGAAACTCGCAATCTTGCTCTCGATCGGGCCAACGTTGGACACCTTATAGCACTCGGGCAGGCGGAACTTGGGCATGGCGGGCCGCGGTGCCGCGCCGTCAAACAGCGAGTACGTTTGCGTGGACAAGAGGCTGTTCTGTTAGGCATGGAATTCAATCCGGGAAGCAAAACAAAAGAAGGTAACGATAGTACTCACTCGTTCGTGTTCAGATCCACACCAAGCGCATTCAGGTCCAGCCCGTACCCCGAGATCATGGCGCTGTACTCTGGATTGTTCAGCAAGGACCGCAGGCCCTTCATGCCCCACCGGTCGATCGGTGCCGTGCCGGCTAGGGGATCTTGGCTGGCGTAGATTGCTGTTTCGCTCTCTTCCCGCAGCTTGCCAGAAGGAGCTCCATCGCCGCCGCCCATCGTACCAATCGAGCTGCGCCCGTCGGCACCGCGCACCGGCCCACCAGCCTCTCCTCCTATTGGCGACTGCGCCGCACTTGCCGCCGAGGTCGCAGCAGCAGCAGAAGCAGACGCAGCATCGCTGTCCATCTTCTGTCGTGCTGCCGCCGCCTCCTCCGCTGCCAGGCTACTTGTCTCCTGCGGTCGTGTGCCGACTGGTGACCGCACCTCGCTACCACCGCTGGCGACTCGCGATCCCGAGTTGGCCGACAGGGCGTTGAGCAGGCCGTTGCCTATGCTGCGGGTGCCGACTGCTGCTGTACCTCCTGGTGCCGCGGGTGAAGTTGCCGACGTCTGGGCGCCGCTGTAACCGAATTTGGACATGAGGCTCGTCGTGCGGTCCTGGCCAATCTCGCCTGTGGTGGCGGACCGGTTCAGTGGTGGGAAATCGTCGATGGCGCCCGGCTGTGATGATTGTGCGTTCTGGCCGATACTCGCCTGACCGATGCTGGCCTGGCCAATATTGGCGGCCTGGCTGCCGAAGCGGAAGGTGCCCTGGTTGGACGGCAGTCGTGTGGACGCACCAAACATGTCCTCCTGCTGCTGGCCTTGCTGCGACGACAAGGGCGTGTTGGCGCCCCGTTGTATCGACTGGCTGCCAATGTTTCGTGCGCCGGTCGTGGACCATAACGATGCTTGTCCAGCGTTTGCTAGTTGCGTGTTATTTGACAGCGAGGGGAACTCCCTATGAAATGGTTAGTAGGCGAGCAGCGATAAGCAGACAGCGAACAAACAAGGCAAAAGCTAGGAAACAGAAAACAAAACATGGGATGAGGTTTCAACGTGTCGAGATAAACTCCCTGTTATTACAGGAGCTACAACGAGAGGAAATGCTTCTGAGATGGGATGTACCACTTGAGAGCCGCAGCGTACGCCATGCTCTTCAACGTGGACGAGTTTGCTACTCGTCGTGCAGGAGATCTGCAAGGCCTCTGCAATCGAACCGGTCCAGAAAATGTCTCTGGCTCCAGGATGCACATTTTTGACGCGGGGGGTGAAACGAAGTGAGGCATTGCGAATGGAAGACACAGGCAAAACGGGCAAATGGAGACTGTTCATAAACATGAAAGAGGAAGAGTAACTGCGAAGGCGGGGCGATATGAAGAGTGACCAAGTGCGATGAAGTGGCGAGGCTGGAGAAGGGAATAGAGTGGAGTCGAATGGCAGATGGGCAGTCTTCAAGGTGAGAGGAAAGTGAAACTAAGATGAGGCGGCAAAATAAAAGCAACACAAACGACCGTAAAAAGGAACCAAAACCAAAAATGGACCGCTGGATAAGTAACACAAAAATAGAAAACATACGAAGGATCCAGAGGCGTGGCCGGTTGTGACCCGCCTAAGCTCTGGGCAAAGCTGATATTGCCGCCCAGTTGCTGCGGCCGGGCCTGGTTCTGCAGGCCACCGGCGCCCGAGCCTGCGAGTGGAACGCCGGAGCCGAACGTCCAGCCTGACGCATTGTTGTTACCTGCAAACACGCCTGTTAGCTGTCGTTTGCCAGCTGTCCCGCTAGACCGGTCTCCCATCTGCTTCGTTTTTCTCGTGCTTACCCATCTTGCCGTTGGGTAGTCGACTGGACACGGACCGTGCCTGCTGTGGCTGCTGTTGTTGGGTATTGAAGCCGTTAGGTAAGCCCCGGAGGGAATGAGGAGCGCCTCCTGAGAAAAGTTGTTAGCGCGATCGACCCGGACAGGCAAAGACGAACGTTTTGGGGATCGAAGCTGGGATAACAGCCACAGTTCCGTTAAGAGACACAGCAGAGCGCAAAGGAGCAACGGCAGCAGCAGAACAACACGGGCAGAGGCTATGGGGCCAGTGATCGCAACGGCCATGCCGTGTCGATACTCGTGGCCCCCCATCCGGCCAAAATGTACCACCGCGACCATGATCAAAAGGCTTGAGACGGCTTGCGCGCATCGAGAAGAAGCGCAACAGCATGCTGAGCACCCGTGCCGTTCTGGCAACGAAGCCGTTTCATTTGTTCTTCCAAGGGCCGTGTGCCTAGTTTTCGAAGGTCGTGCCTGTCTGCCAACTTCACCTCCCTTCCCTGCGCTTCTCTTTAACTATCGGGCGCAATGGTCGTTCATACCTGGTCGATTCATACTGGGCAGCGGATCGAAAGACTGTCTATGTGCGCAGCGTCTGTGCTGGTTAGGTCGCCTTGGGTCGTCAATGGTCGTCCAAGGTCGTCGATGGTCGTCGATGCGACTCGGTGGTCAGCTTGAGGGCTTGGGTGTTGATGGTTTATCGTCCTAACAGCGAGGCCGAGTTCGTGATAATGCAAGGGAGCGAACGATACGAACGTCGCGCTAATGCTACAAGGTAACAACTATTGATGTGCACCGCGCACAGTGACACGTTGGACGGGAAGTCAAAAGGACTGTGGGGTCGGGCGAGAAGATGGCGTGCAGATAGAAGCTCGTGGTCGTGTGTTGTGAGGCCCTGGGGTAGTGTGGCGTCGGAGATTCCTCGAAAAGAAACGAAGGAGGTTCGCTGTGCGAAAACTAGCCAACCAACAGAGACCAATCATGATCAAAGCCCCACAAAACTATATGTCTTTGTTGACTAGCGCGTGTGGACTCAGCTGTTCGATACATGCATATTTCTCTAAGCGATGTAAAGCTGCGACACAAATGGCCCGTGCGCCCTTCCTCCACCTTCTTTTTAGAGTTTTATATTTAATTTTGCAGCTTTTTTAATTGCCAAATTACGCGCAGAACCCAGCTCTCCCCTGCATCTCAGCCTCACACGTGCAGTTTAAAACAAGTGACAGCTGCATTGTCATGTCGAAGGTGTTCCGGCTTTGTTCCCGTAGATAAGGGTCATTGTCTTTTGATTTATTTCACAGTAGACTGCAACCTCACATTTAAAGCTTGAGATGAGTCAGATTCGCTTCCACATACAGCAATCTCACCACCACCAATTAACGGTTCAATTTGTCAATTTGTGATATGCATTTAACGGGTTTCATTTGATATTTACTGTAGCTGACAACACCAGACATCGACATGCCCTGGCTATATCCGTATCGCTCTCAATATGCTCTTTTCAAAGTCGAACTGGTCAAGCCTCCGCCCAATAAATATCAGCTTGCTCGACTCGGGCGTGGCGGTTGACTGGCCTGCTGCTTCTTCCGCGAGTGTGGGTGCCGGAGCGTCGAAAATCTCAAATAGCTCCCGAACGCCCTGGACAACCTTGTCCAAGCCGTTCTTGAGCACGAGACGGCCCTTGGTGCGGTGGATCTCGAAGCTGGTCGGGTCGTTGCGACCGCCCTGTTTTGGCCCGCCAGCAGGATCAGGCAGTTGGCTCTCCCACAACACCGACCGCAGCCATTCGTCGACCTTGGCAACCTGTGCCGCATCAAGGACGCCAAGGTCGATAGCTTTTGTCGATATTGACTTTATTTTGGGTGTCAGTGTGTGCAATGGGCCGGGACGTGTGCAGCAGAGATAAATGGGCGGGCGTGTCAACGTACCGGATCCAAATGGCTGTGGTAGTTTTGGTGCACAGCACGCTCGACCGCCTCAGCCGTTTCGTAGGCGTGCAGGTCAAGAAGGACGCCCTCGAGCTGTGGTACGGCGCTCTGGGACGTGACGTGAATACGCGCCAGGCCGTTTATCGACTCGATGCGCGTCTTGACGCGGGCCAGCTCGTCCGCATCGACGAGATCCGACTTGTTGATAACAATTACATCGGCGTGGGAGATTTGGACGTGTGCCGTCGTCATCAGTGGCCCGTGCTCATCTGCATGGTTGTGGTCCTCCGTCTGATCAGTGCCCTCGGGCTCATCAAGATTCCGCAAAATGTTCTTGGCATCGACCAGCGTGACAATGCCGTCCAGGAACAGCGAGCTGCCGAGGCCGTCGTCCATCCAGAACAGCGGTGCCAGGTTACCCGGATCGGCGAGGCCAGTCGTCTCGAGTAGGATGTAATCGAACTTGCCCTTCTTGGCCATTAGCGATTCAATAGCGTTGACACCGGTGTCTCTGTGAGGTCAGCAAACGAAAATTGAGATTCATAGTAGAAAAGGCAGGACGCACTTGACTGAGCAGCAAATACAGCCGTTACCAACGTCCAGCCACTCTTCGACGGACTCGCCGTTTCTGTTTATTGTCAAGGACTTTTCAATGTCCAAAGCTGCGTGGCGTTAGTTGTTTGATTTTCATCTAACACCGAGGCGCGTCCCAACCATGACCGAGACTCACAGTCCCCAAATTCTACCATCACAACAATTAGTATTTCATCCCAAGCTTTAAACAATACATCTGGAGATATTTTAAAGACGGAGAAGCAAGACATGTCTGAAACTCACCGTTCATAATTACGGCAATCTTCTTGCCATGTTCTGCTGTCAAGATGTAGTTCAACAGCGTTGTCTTGCCCGCCCCCAGATATCCTAGATGGGTCAGAGGTCAGGCTCAAGCTATACATCTCACAATAGCCACTGGGTCAGAACCCACCCGTCACGATCGTCAAAGGCACTTTGGGCCCATTCTCTGCGTCATTCTCGTCTGCTCCGACGGCTGTGTCGACGAGAACAGGCGGCAGGTCGTCGTCGGAGTCCATAGTTCCCGTAGATGCTTGCGACTGGTTATTCCCTGACGCTTATTGACACGGAATAAAATATTTCAGCAAGGTGTCCGAGTTTGTAGGAGTGGCAGGCACAACTTATATTGGAGAATACTTTTTGACACGCTACGCCCTCTTTGTCGCCGCGATGACATCGCCTCGCAGAAGTTGATACACATCAATTAGTGCTGTAAGGCCCCGCAACCGCCTCAAATACAGCACACGACGCCTCGCTCGGGAGGGCTTACCTGATTAGTCATAGCGGAGAAAGAGCTCCTTGAGCATCAGCCAATCAGCAACTGCAGCGCCCGGGGGTTACCAAACCAACCCCTGGATAGCTCTGCACGGCGGTAAGGCAGGTGCGACAGGAGGTAGGCACAGAAACAAACAGGATTCACATCGGGCATCTGCAAACAGAAAAACATCGCCAGCGCTTGCATAGCTTCCAGAATCGTCACTCTTCATATCTCACCACGACACACGACCCCACACAGGACACTCGCGCACACGACTTCGCATCCAAGCTGTGGCCGCTAACCTGTGTCACTGAGCATACATTGCGTATCGGAACCGCCGCAACATTTCTTCCATCCTGGCAATTTGACAGTTTGACAGCCGCCTCGACACGAGACACAAAACAAGGGTCAATAACCGTACCGGAAATCATTTTGTGATGAAGAGGGAGGTTGCCACCGACAGTGCCTCACAACCTCCTAAAATATAAAGTACCTCTCCAGACATGGCGCTCCCGCCGAGCTCGCCTCGGCTGCCCAGCCCTCCCCCGGCCGCCGAAATCCAGATCGGGCCCAAATCGCCGGCAGCCTCGGGCGCAACTTTGGCCCAACAGCAAATGGAGCAGCAAATGGAGCAGACGATCCTCGATGCCAACTCCAAGCGCCGCATCCACCCGGGCACCCGGGCTGCAGATTTTGCCGTAGGGCCACCGCTTGTCCCGCTTAATGAGGTGAGCTTGCTGTGGCCTTTTTCCTAAGAAAAAAATGTCGCAACAGCATCGACTAACATCGCCAGCTCGACTCGGCGTTCCAGCTCCAAGAACACCTCGCTGCCCTCCATTACCACCACACTGCCAACAATACCATTCCCATCTCCCGCGAGACCGCCCACATCCTCGCCCAGGCGCCCGCCGGCACCGACCGCACGCTCTGGCTATACGAGCTCTGCCGTTTTCTGATTGCGCAGTGCAACAGCCTTATTGTCGGTTTTCTCTTTGACACGCCGCCCTGCAGCGCCACCACCTGCCCCGAGATGCGTGCGTCGGAGTGGCAGTTTTTGTGCGCCGTCCACGAGCAGCCGCGCTCCTGCTGCGCCATCGACTACTGCTGCCACACCCTCGACTGGGCCGCAAATGTCGTCACCAACCCCAAGATTTTCCCCAGCCGCTTCGTCTTTGCCGATCCACACGACAAGAATGCGGCCGTTAAGAACCTGATCAACGTGTTCCGTCGTCTCCACCGCATCTTTGCCCACGCCTGGTTCCAGCACCGTGGCGTCTTCTGGTCTGTCGAGGGCCAGACTGGCCTCTACGTCTTTTTCAAAACTGTCTGCGACATGTATGACCTGCTACCCGCCGAGAATTACAAGCTGCCACCTGAGGCTGAGGGCCTGGACGTCACACCTTCCGTGGCGGTGTCGGGCAGCGGTGCGCCCGCAGAGCCTTCAACAAATGAGAGCAGCACTGCCCCCTCCGAGAATGTGGCACCGGGCCTCATCCCGATGTCGTCCATCGCCGACAAGAAGAGCCTTGCCATGAACCCGGCATCTGGAGGTGCGGCCGGCGATCGTTCAGCGTACCGGTCAGGCTCTGGACCGGCTGGCGCCGGCTCTACTTCGAGCAGTGGCACAGGTCTTGCGGCGGACCTACTGGGTGCCGACAGCGAACACCTGCACGCGGTTGGCCGCACCAATACGCGGCGACACATTCGTAGCAGCCCGTCCACTGGCAGCGCTGTGACCACCGTTCTGGAGCAAGATGAGGACGGCGCGAATGCTGCACCTGGTGCCGCCGGCCGGCCCGTCTCCATCCTTAAAAATACCCACTTAGCACCCGCACTGGCTCGCTCATCCTCTCACTCGACGACGCCGCCGACGGTCACCGAGCAAGAAGTTCCGGCGGACGAGTCAAAGACGGACGGCAGTGGAGCCGGTACAGGTACAGACGCCTCGACGACTTCGGTGCCCATTATCGTGGAACACCACCAGCACAAGTCTGCAACCGCCACACCGCCTGAGCAAGAGCCAGCAAGCACAGTGGAAGCGTCCACGACAGATAGCACCGAAACAGAACAGACCGAGCTGAGTGCAGAGCCCGCTAACGCAGGTGCAAACCCTCCAAACGAGAATGAACCTACCGAACCGATCACAGTCATTGTAGCGGGTGAGCTGGCAGAAGCCACAGGTGGTGCAGCGGCGGCTGCGGAGAAGCCTCCCAAGGAAGAATCAACTGGCGTCCCAGCAGCTTCCGAGACAGCGACAGAGGAGGTCACCTCGACTGTCGAAGACGAAAGCGCCAAGGACGTGAAGCCGACCGATGGCACTTCTCCTGTCGCCACTAAAGAAGAGTCAACAGCAACTGAGACTGAGCCTGCCCCGGAGGATACCTCCAACGCCACCGAGGAAACGCCGGAAGCTGCCACGCCCGAGGGCAAGGAGGCTACTGACAAGGCCCAGAAGGAGGATGAAGCAACCAAGGCCGAGGCGGCAGAGGCCAAAGCTGATGTCGAGACCGAGGCCACTGCAGAACCAGCACCGATAGCCGAAGAATAGGTGCTGGTATCGGCAGGTGACTGTACAGAAGAGGAAATAGCAAAAGAACCAACATCTTAATAACGTGCATCGGGAGGAGAAGCCAGACTACGTTTCATTCCACATAATTTCCTTTAGGTCTTGTTTGGCGGTTGTCCATTTTCCATCCTTCTTCCTTCCTTTTCCTGTATTATTTTAGTATTGTATTTTTTTTGGCCAAGTTGTAGTGAAGAGCAGTTGAGCAAAAGTGTGTGCACGAGACCGAAATAGCCAAACTACAGATGATATCCAATACGCATGGCGTCAGTGGCTTTTCGTGTTAAATGTTAACTCTTGCGGTACCCGTTTGTTCTGCGTAAATAGCCAACATTCGTCTGTCAGCCTGCCACAACGACGAATTGATTTATACAGAAAGCCAACTACAAACTTGAAGCCAGGATACTTTGACCATTTCTCTCGGGACGACAAATCAAAAAAGAAATAATGAAATTTCCCACAGTTTTGTATATCGTGCCCAGATAGAAAGAAGAGATTGCATGTATTGGTATTCCTGGGTTGGTGACGTATAAATCTTGTTATGTATACAAGGCCGTTAAATGCGCTGCAAAATGTTGAAAGCCGATGAAATAGAAAAGGAGAAGTAAACAAAAGTCGGTAAGAAGAAAGGGATCTCGAAGAAGAAGAAAACATATATGAATGACAAATGCCTCCCAAAAAAATGCAACACTGAAAGGTGCCATTGTTGACCCAAAATATCATTTAGACGCCTCTTCTCTTAACCTTTGCCGCTTTCGGTGCACCCTTGGCACCTTTCTTCTGTTTCATTGTGTCGCTGCTAGCCCGATTGCCAGCATCTGAATCGTCCACGGCTCCGCCACCACTGCCGCTACTTCCGCCTCCTTCACCGATCTGGAGCTTCGCAAAGATATGCCGGACTTCCCGTAGGTTTTCTGTTTGTGCCGACACGGCCGTCACATTACGCTCATCGGCAAAAGCACGCACGCTTTGCAGAATCGGACTGAAGCCTTCATTGTTGGGCAGCCACCACTGAACACAGGATGGGTCGTTGAAGAGCTCGGACATCCGCGTACGCATAGTAAGCGGGAAGATATAGCTGTGGCTCCTGTTAGCTATTGAATACAGAGCTCCAAAAAAAAAGCGTAAAAAAATCCTACCCCATGGTTTCAATCAACGCAAACTTGCGTCGAATCCACATATGGTGGCGACTGTCGCGCGGAAGGAAAAGAGCAGCAATGGCAAGCATCGCTTGCGATATTATCAAGCACCCTGGCGGACTGGCCGGCCACATCTCAAGCGTCTCAAAAATCTGACAAATGGTGTATGCACGCTTGGCAAGTCCTGCCATACCAGCCGACATCTGAGCTGCCATTTGAGCGGGGTCCATTTGTCCGTCAGCATCCAGGGCACTTCCTCGCCCTGCAGGAGGCAAAGAAGACTTGGTAGCAGCCGCAGCAGCGTGCATGGCCGCCATGTCTCCAGACGTTTCACCACCAGAACCACTCATAGCGGCAAGAGCAGCTAGGCCGTCTTTGAGCGACATGCCGTCAGGTAGAGCCATACCTTCCGGTAAAGTTATCCCTTCCGGAAGGGCTATCCCTGCTGGCAAGGACATCCCCTCCGGTAGAGACACGGCTTTGAGTAGAGACATGCCTTCTGCGGGAGACATGCCTTCAGGAAGCGTCATACTCTGAGGCATTGGCGATAGTCCAGCTGCAGGTTGAGGCGCGGCACCCATAGCGGCCATAGCTAACTGCGCAGCCTGTAGTTCGTGCATGACAATAATCGATTGCCACTCACAAGACATGATCGTGTATGCAAAAAGTGGCCCGTAATACAAGATTCCCGGCTGATAAGGGTCAACAATATCGTCCTCCTCAAGTGCAACCGCATGACTAAAGTCGGTAACAAGGAGAGGGTGGTGTTTTGATTCTCCTCCTGCGCTGCCTGTCATCCCGTTTGTTGTCTCGTCGTCGACCTTCACAAGGGCATCGAGACCAGCTTTCCACTCATTCAGCGCACTGAGAATACGCGCATGCTCTCGCATAAAGGTCTCGTCTGGTGCAAATGACGGAAATGCGGCCAGGCCACCGCCTGCACGTTTCGCTGCATCTTCGCCGTTATCGTCTTCCTTGGCACGCGCAAATAGCAAAGACATATCGAAGCTGATAAGTCGCAGTCGCGCAGAGCAATCTTCAGTCTTGTAAATTAGGCTCGTGGGCTCGTTGGCAATACGCTCTTGATAGTACTCCACGATGCTGATGAACCAATCCCGCGAGAGAGCTGTCTCAAAGCCACCCATGATGCCCACAAACACATCAAAGCGAGTGTACCAGTGAAGGATCATGCGGCCTACTGATGTCTGGGGGGCGGTGTCGGGCGTATAAATTTCCGTAAGCATTTCCAAAGCAGCCTTTTGGTGGCCCATGAGATTGACCCAGTCACCGAGGTACTCTTCAATCGTAGCGAGCTGCAAAACAGTCAAAAGAGTACCGAGTGTATGCTTCTCTTTTCGCTTTAGGATTCCGAGAAGAAGCCTCACACTCTGGTCATAGTATTGCAAAAACTGCTGTAGTTTGGCCGTCGGATCACGCAAAATGAAATGGTAGGCCGAAAAGGCAACAAGTGCATATAGCAGAGGCTCGTTACGGACGGCCAGAGCCGGCAAGATGCCACGAATAAAGCTGTCCGAGTCGATTGGAATGCAGTAGTGAAGATGTGTGATATTGTCCACAAAATATCCCAGGTAGAAACGCAAGTCTTGGGGCAGGTGGCTCCAGTCGGCTGCCGAAACTGCTGGTAAAGTTGAGGACGAGGAGTAGTAGGGCTCGGAGGAACCAACAGATTGTGCTGTAGGCGGAAAGCTACCGGCGGTACCCGTCGACGTGGCCGGTGACGTACTTTTCCCTTCAAACGATGGGGTCTCTGAACCTTGCCGAGTTCGTCTTCCTGTCGACGACGCTGCACCTGCGCCACCAGTAGATACAAGCCGTTTCATATTCAAAAGTGATGTTGAGCTCGACTGCCGTAGAGGAGGCCGCACTTTGTCGTTGAAGGTGACCGTAAACTGCTGGGGTGTAGATGTATCTGCCGTTCCACTGGTCGACTCGTCGGCCTCGTCGTAATCAGGAATCGTGTCAAGCTTGCTGTCATTATCCACATCTTCGTCGTCTTCTTCGTTTGACGATTCTGGGCTAGCTTGTTGGCTTATATTTGCCTCCTCTTGTGACACAGCGGCAGCCGATTTCTTTGACGACTTGGGATCGGGATAGGAGCAATCTCTTTTTCCTTTCTTACAACCTATAAAGATAAAGAATGTAGTGCGTAAGATGCCGCGCAGAATTTTGTTAGCAACAAGCAGACATGCAGTCATGTCATATATGCTTTAAGGAGAGAACAAAAAACGAAGTTTAACTTACGCTCGCAGATGGGCCGCGCCTCGTCGCACTTGATTCGTCTGCTGCGGCACGTATAACAACCCGACCGCGTCCGACGGTGTTTGACGTGCTCTGATCCAGGAGCGGATTTCCGACGATTGCGCTGTGACTTTTGCGCGTTGAACATGACCGGCTCTGGAAAGCCAGTGTAAAAGCCCAAGTTCTGATACTGGTTTGACCCCTGTCCCGGTCCCATCCCCATGGTCATGGACATGGCCGGCTGCTGGTGGAGATGGGGTGGAAGTGACAACGGCATTGGCACATCCTGGACATGCTGCGGCGGAGGTTGTGGATGCTGCTGGTGAAGATGGTGAGGCTGTTGATGAAGTGGTACAGGCTGGTGCGTATGCTGTTGCGGATATTGTTGTTGCTGTTGTTGCTGTTGTTGCTGTTGCTGCTGTTGTTGTTGCATAAGATGCGGATTTGGCTCGATGCCTGACATGGAAGCCAGGAACTGGTGGTAATAGTCACTCATGGTGGCAAGGATATACCATATATGGGGACCGGCGTAGCCAATAACCTTGCTATATTGACAAGAGAGCTGGCTCCCAATGGTACGGGCTCCAAGAATGGCAGAATGAGTGACACGAAAGAATAGTTAACTTGTCGTCGGTAGCATTCTCCTTTTGCAAGCGTCGTTGTGTGGTTGGCGCGGTGAGAATGTTGTCGGCGGTGCCGGTAGGCCAGAACAAACTGACAACAGCGGAAACAGGTACAATACAAAGGCAAGACCGATAAAGACAGTGATGCGATGGACAATGCAGTCCCGCGAAGCTAGTAATAAGGTGCCGTCAACGTTTGTCGTTGAACGTTGGCGTCGTCTGAGAATAAAGACGGAGGGCAAAAAAGAAAAAAAGAGAGAATTGGTGGAAAATCTTCAGACAAGCGGGGTGTTCGGAGAGTTTCCCGCGGTTGGCGTATACGGCCCACGATCTCGGTGGCGGGTGACCAAGTACAGCGACAGCCGGACAGAACAGACGTCAGACAGATGACAGAGGCTGTTTTGGAGAAGGAAAAGAGCAGTGTGTTGTTTGTCGATGTGTGCGTCAAGAATGCAACCTATCTTTGTTGAGGCAGTGCCATCGATGTTCTTCCGCTCTGCAGTTATCCTCCGTTAGCATATAGTACAGGTGCATCGAGGGCGCAGCTGACTAGGATACTCTCTTGAAAAGGAAAGAGGGCGACGGGGAAATTAGGAAAATAGCAACGAGATGACGAAGCAAGTGAGATGCGGCCACCTTGTGGAGAAGACAGAAAGGAAAAGCGCAGAATGGCCCCGGCAAAGGTAAAGAAGGGTAGAACAAGTTAGAAGCAAACGACGGTTGGATGATGGTATTTACGCGCCGACAATTTTCCATTCGCCATAGCCCTATCCAAAGCTATTGCTGTCGAGTACCATTCGCCGTACCGTCTCCCAGGGGGGTGATCTGCCCGCAGGCAAGGTCAAGGGCCGCAAGGTTAAGAAGTGGAGAGGGAAAATAAACAAGTCATAAGAGGGTGTGGACAGAGGACGGTGGAGGTGGGGAGGGGTGGGTGTGCTGGGAGGTGTGAAGTGAATGAAAGATAGCGTCTTGGTACAAAAGGCGTGTCTTGAATAAATAAGTAGCATTTGCATGTAGAAGGGGCATATAATAGTGCACATGAATGAGCGAGCTGTTGAGGTGTAAAAAGAGGACGGGTTATCCAAAAAGCTGCTTTGACACGATGCAGCGAGGAATACCGAGGTATAGAGAGTCTTGAAACAATCGAAAGCTTCCTTTGCACATACCTTCGTGTCAAACTCAGAGGCGTTCCACATGGACATTGGGCGATGAAGTGGGCAACGAAAAACATCTAATTGCAAGACACGAGAAACACAACTTACCAAAGGTGCTTCAGATTGAGCACAAAAACATGTGTCGTATGCTGGAGAACACTGACGTATAGTGGATGTAGGCCAAAATAGAAAAGTCCGAGACGAGACGAATTCGTTGCTGCAGACTGATACCAGCGTTGTTGTCACCACAGCCGATCTGAGGAGGATTCCCTGACCATAAGATACTGGAAAGAGTCCGGGTGTGGCAGCGCTGCCACAGAAGAAATCCGTATGCCGAACCAAAAGATACTATCTTGGATGGACGAGCCCGAAATGTATAAAAGGTGATCAGACGGCCCGGTGCAGAGAGACAACCCCTAGTGTTCACCAACTACTCTGGAGAATACTGGAGGGATGTTGAAGGCAGATGGCTTCGTTGCTAGGAGCATGCGAGGAAGATCACAAGCGCGAGGAAGATCAAAGGTAAAGAGGCTGGTTTTCTGTCCTCTGGTTCTGGTGTTTGTCAAGTGCCCTTGGCAAATGGTTGTGCTCCGTCTCGACCTGTTTGGGAGTCAGCGAGGGCCATTTAGTTAGAAACGAAAATATATAGAGGCCTCAAGGAGCTTTCTTAGAGTCAAGAAGGGAACAAACCAGAGAAGAAGGGTGTGAGTCGAGTTCTAAAGACAGTTGGAGGGAAGAAGCAACTCTGCAACTTGATCCACACAGCAAGTCGGCGTGAAGAAAGAGGAAACGGCTAAACCAGAACAAGCTGGAACCAAGTTGGAAGCAATAAAGTAAACAAAAAGTGTACCGCTAGAAGCGTTGCTGGAAAGTGGCGCGCTCGGTAACCTCTCAATGGAAGCTTTCGTCAACATTCAGCAAGTTTGAAAATGTGGTTCGTGTCCCGACCAATCCAGCAAATGGGGATAGGTTGGCTTTCTGGGAGTGTGTACGGAGTACTGGAACGGCAGCCTTGGTATCTATCCCTGCCTAGTGTCGAGGTTGGGTAGTATTCCCAAAAGACACTGTCGTATCTGGATGGAGCAGAAACGGAGCAGAAGGGAACACTTGTGCAAAGTTTGGATGGCGGCTTTGTTGCCCTTTGTCGGCGGAGAAGTCCAGGCCGCTGCAAAAGTCAGAATGGAGGGTTTGTGGCTTTGGTTGGATTCTTCTCTTCGCCGAAAAGATTTTTTGTTTACAAAAAAAAAAGCAGATGTGAGGCTAGTCTTCGCCTATGGGAGCTGGCGAGATCGACGCTGGACCAGACCGTGACGTTGCAATATGGAAGCGGCCAGGCTCGACGGGTCGAAATGAAAAAGGGATAATGCGAATGGTTATGGAGAAGGAAGTAAGACGATGAAAAGATGAAAGTAGGAAACAATACAGAGCAGAATAAAATGACCAAGTCAACAACATACAATTGGTAAAATCGTATCGGGATCAGGCCGGCAGATTGATCACAACGATGTGGTATTAAGGTGTATGAGACAAGTTGAGACGAGAAAGAGTGTGTGCAGTTGCGTGAGAGTAAAAGTATGTTGTTGTTTTTTTCGCAATGCGAAGAAAGGAGAACTTGACGAGAATTAAAAAAAGCGAAAACAAATGAGGGGCTGGGAAGAGTGTGGATGCAAGAGCAGTTATCAAGGCAGGAACGAACAATGGAGACTTGGAACTGCAGTTGCTGATTTGAAGGTAGAGGGTGTGGTTATTAGGTGAGGGGGGAGGAGCGCCGGAGAGGTTTTGCTAACACTCTAACACTGCCAGTCGTACCTGCTAACCCTGAATTAAACCCAAAAATAATAAATAAAAACGAGCTCCGACTGTGCTGGAGTTACGGAGTGTTACTTGGCACTCACCTGAAAATAAGCAAATGAGGCACACAGTTCGGGGACCAAAAGGTCTCTGCGGAAACATGAACAGTGGTGTGCAACTTAGGTGCCACTTGCCCAACCTAGGCAAGGCCTAGATGTCCCAAACCTAAAGGTAGGGAAGGCACCAGCCAAAGGCAAGTTCCGTCCGAAAAGAACAAGAATTGAGGAAGGTGTGCGCGGTGGCACTTGCCGAGAACGAGCTACTATTGACAAAGTCGCAATTTTGGCTCATGCATCTCCTTCCCACCCGTCCATTTCTCTGCTCTCACTCACCCTACGTTTAGTTTCGTGTTCTGCCTTGTTGCACACCAACCCACGCTTATTTGAGACATACTTACGCCACCCTCACCGTGACACGACATGAACCCAGGTGATAAGATTGCTAGGTTGCTCCAGAACAAGGTGAGCTGTAATTCGTAGCTCGGAATTTCGCATATTCTATCTTGATGACAACAAATGTTAGGAACGGTTCATGAACCTTGACAACCCGCCGAACGACATCTCCCCATCTCCACCGCGGCCCAGCCTTGCCCCTTGCCCTCGAATGTCAAGCCGTTTGTGATAATACTCTCCGAAAAACAATTCGTTGCAGACGAGTCAACTCCATCCGTTCTCAGCCCAAGTCAGCCAGCCCCTTGTTCGAAGCTAGCGAAAGGTGACGGTAAGGGTGTTGATCTCTTTCCTTCTTTTGCTTCAATTTTTCCTGGAAACCCCGTCCCTCCCTCTTGATTTTGTTGCCGAGACTTTCTTCCCTCCTTCCAATCCCAACTTGTTCCAGCTTGCTTTCTCTCGACATCTACATCCGACATAGCCAAAATGGGTCACCTAACCCAAGCTTCGGCACGAGGGGGCCATGTGTACAAACCTACGGTGTATGGAGTACGTACTGTCGGAACGTTAGGGCCAGAAGTTGTGGGGAAGCAAGCACGACTGGGTCCCCGTACGCTGGATTGGATGCCGAGGGTGCCTTTACCAGAGAGAAACAGGGTCAATAACACAAGAAGGGTGTAGAACCAGGCCTGAGCATATTGTGGGGCAGGGATAAATGCTAACATATCTGATAGCTGCGACAGGGCTATTCTTGCAACGCTCTTGCGCTCCCAAAAGAGACAGGGGATGAGAAAGCAGGAAGTGAGGGAAAAACAAAACACCAACACCGAATTTAAGAGGACAAGAATGTCGACTCGTGGGAAACCGACTATGAAGAAAACGGTTTAAGACGGCGCGTGTCTTATGTGCTCCACAAGCAAAAATGTGCTTGTGTTTGGTGGTTGCCCACCTCTTGCCTCTATTGTTTGATGAACCTTGTCCCCCCTTCTCCGACGAGCTAACAAGGGAACTAACTCCAGACAGTGCATTGTGCACCACCATACGAGGAAAGGCCCATATTAGAAAGAGTCTGACGAGCGCAATCACGGAGCGACAGATTGAACTTTGCCAAATGCGAATAAAAGACACAATAGGAGGAGAAGAACAATGAAGAAAATATGAAAAGAAAAAAACTCTGTGAGGACCCAAAGGATAAAATCAACCCGCCAAACCGCTGGCTGAGCGATCTCTGGCGCGTTCTTATCGAGATGGACGTCCGAGGACAATGACATACCGAGATAGGAGATTTAAGACGTGTGAAGATGATGAAAGAGCAAACAACAATGAACCAGTGGGCCAGGCCCAACCTTCTATTCCGTCTGTCCAAGGGCCACTTTTTACCGAGACGCCCTTGTACCAATGCCAACGTCGCAATAGGAGCTCCATGAAAGAGCTTGGGTCATAGAAGCTTGGGCGAGAAAGCTCGGACGAAGAGACGGC